AGTACACACCACCACACACACTCTCAGACACTATAGTGCCGGTGCTCGAGGCACACACACACAGCCCGTGCTGCAACTCTCTTCACTCTTCATACGACGAAAAGAGCGACAGCTAATTACATTTTGGAAAAAAAAGCTATAGCATCGCATCCAACGACCACAACACTATCAGCACACACACACAGCAGACGTACGTCGGCCATCACACACACACACAACTAACCTTTTTACTTAGCTGACTCTCTCATCTCTCTCTCTCATCCGTCTTCACTCAACATCTATCATAGAGCCCCACACACTACACCAACACCACGGTGATAGCTGGAAAATTTCGCCCGCCGCCATAGTTGAGATCAAGATAAGAGGGTGATAACGCCAGCTAAACACAAAAAACGTTAATTACATGGATCGTTTGTAATAACGTATGAGCAAGAAAGGTTTATCGGGCCAGTTTTATAGACAACGTTATATTTAAACGTAAAATGGATGCTCGGGATTTTTATAACCGGATTTCGAACGTTTGTAAAAACGGGTTTTTTAATGTAACTGTTATTTGATAGTGCCCACCTACTCTCTTCTGGTCTCTTCTTCCGTTGAAATTAATCATCGTCTCTCTCACACACCACACACAATGAACACGCACATCGCACACACACAGCGACAGACCACAAACAATCGATGACATCATCATCGCACCTACATCTACAATCACATCTGCACTCGCATGAACGAATCGTCTATCTTCGTCCTTCACAGACACACCATAATTACCACACTGCACACCACACACACTGCACGCACGAGCGAGCCCCACCGTGCGTAACGAACCACACTCTACTACCCCCACTACTGATACGCTTTCTCTATCTGCTCACACACTCATTAATGAACGATCACATCTACGCAATCTCGAGAACATGGCACGAGACAACACAAACACTTACACACGACACCACTAGACATACTATTTACAGTAATTCAAAATAGTTGACGAATGGTAGATGCCGAGAGCTAACTCCGCATTGGCAAAAATGTTAGAATACATGGCGTGCTTTAGCGAAATTTAATTTAGAATATTGTATCATAATCCGCGAAACGCCGTATGCTCGAGGCCACCGTCAGCGCTCCTCTAGAGCAGTAGACAACATGTAGAGCAAGCACCACAATACCTGTGTCGGCGTCGGGGGTTCGCATATAGGCTTCTTCGTAGCAGACGATCTTTTGTCACCCGCTTCCTGGCGTTTAAATGGCTACTAATCGAATTATATGATGAGTAATTACACAACAAATTATATTAAGATACTAAATATTTATCTAATTTTTTTTTTATCAGTCAAATAATGACACGCACGCACTACACACACACAGCACGCACGGGTCAAGATACCAACTCAAGTACAACTTGCAGTCCTACCGACGGCACTTATCTCGTGCACGCGATCGCAAATTATAGGTTTAAACTTTGTGTCAGACAGGTCCATCAAGTTTGTGGGGTATGGGGGAGTCTGCTGTCGAGGATGATTTCAGCCCGTGCACTTAGTGAATCCATGCAGCAGGAAGATAGGCGAAGAATATGTGAGCGCGGTAGCCCAAGCACAGTGTAGCACCGAAGCCACACCGCGAGTGCCGACCAGACACTTGGAACGTCTCGATAAAAAAATTATGTTAAATAAACACGAAATGTTTTTACTGTACCAACAAAAGCACTTACACTGAGTTCTCCTAGTTCGCTTTTCAGCGTAACTTATTTGGCCGATAAAAACTCCCTGTAAATGCCCGTTTCAAATTGAAAATGCTCCTCTGAAACACCAAGTACACCACGCAGCCGCACGTGCACGGTACGGTGAACACGGCACCGCGAGCCGCCGCGTGTGTACAAACAATTAACTAGAATATTAGAGGTAATAGAATAAATATAGAATCCAAATTCTAGGTTATTCAAAGTATTAAACAAAAAATTATTTCGGGGATTTGACAAAAAAATCGTACCACGGGGAATGGCGTTCAAAATTAAGCGACTGCGTTTTCAGTAAAATAATGTTCATTTATTAGACACGACGAGTTGCCAGACATTTTTCAGTAGATGTATGTCACTTTCCATTGTGTAATAAATAATTTAGGAGAGTTTATGGATATAGTTATGACGCATTTGTAGATCAATGTTCAGTATTTATTGTCTGGCCAAAATAGTGGAAATTTTCCCCAGTTTCCTGTTGAAAGTAGGAGAGATGCATTGTAGGGCCCACCCGCACATCAATATAGTGGGGGGGAGGATATCCACGCCCCATCCCAACCCGCGTATCCTACGGTCTCAGCTGCTCCCACCGCCTCGTCTACCGTGCAACAAAGCCCACACATTATGCAGTTTTTCTGCCTCAGTCTTTGTGGCCGCAGCCCGCACGCCTGAGATTGTGCACGCGCATAGCGCCAAAATCCTCCCCGAGACCGATTTTTTGGCAAAAATATATGGCATTTGTAATATGTAGAGTGGTTATCCGCTAACCGCAACGATTCCTATGATACACATTCGCATCAGTAGACCGTCCATTTAAGAAATGAGGAATAGATTAAGACGCTTGCTTGCAATGCATGTAAGTAACCTGCGGCAGCATCGCGGCTGCCTGATAGCTGTAGAATACATTTTATTATGCATATGCCACTCATATGCTTCAGTACATTATGCGTACTGGCCAATCGCGGTCGCAAACTGCATGCAGTGCCCCTTCCCCACTGATCTCTATAATATAATCATATTATAGAGATCAGTGCCCTTCCCACACTCAGGATAATAGAAGAATTGAGCCAGAGCGAGAGCGCCACCTGTCGTGGAGTTTGTCGCGGTCGTTGAGTATCACGTGACCTAGTGAGAAACGCGGGCTGATCAACAGACAGCGACAGATTTATGTTGTGCATATTTATTTTGTCTATAAAACAGCATTTTCGAGTATTGACATAACAGCAACAGCGGTGATACAGGTATTTTTTTAATCAAACGCATTTTTAGCGCTGTTACTGTCTTATTATCTGTGTCAATTACCAGCGTCACTACCACACCGCACATGGACAGTGTCAGACACTATCACAGTATCACTCAGTGACGCTGAAGGGGTCGTATATCATGTCGTATATATCATGTAGTACCCGAGGTGTCGGCGAATATGTCGCCTACGCCTACTCCCTAACCCTAACACCCTAACCCTAACCAGATCAGATAGTTACCTCAGCCTCAGGTAGGTAAAATGCCTCCTACATATTATACGCCATTAATATGGCATTATACGACAACGACCCTTCGTGCCTCAGTGGCAGTGGTGTCACTGACGCTGAAGGGGTCGTTGCCGTATCAGGTACTACAGATATGTACCCGAGGTACATATATGTATACACAAAGTGTATCAGACTTGTACTACAGAAGTGTACCCTAACCCTAGCTCCAGGAAACGGTATTGCTAGGGTTAGAATTGACGTTAGTCACACAGCCTGGTCGGGTTACCCTAACCCTAGCCCTAACCCTAACCCTAAACATACCTGACATATAAAAATATAAACATAATACTAAACAACCTAAAACTACCTCGGGTACATATCTGTAGTACCTGATACGACAACGCCCCATCTGCGTCACCGACATAGTTAGTTAGTTAGTTATTTGTTAGTTTTGAACGGATCATTAGAAGGTGAGACGGACGGAAAGCAGAGATCGATCAGCATGCCATCAGTTGAATGAGTGCACTAGGATCCATCATCCAGGATCCAGGATCCATCAAGCATCAATACTGATAAATAATGCGATTCAGGACTCCTTGTAAAAACTTATAAGCTTGACATGAAAATAATTTTGGAAAGTGGGTCCAGAGTATCCCCAGGCAATTGACACACATTGTGTCTGACCACCTGCAAAGCAGAAGCTAATTTATGACATCAAACATGTATGCCCCTACATGCACAGGGCTACCGCTGGTGTTCTCCACCTTCGCAAAATGCGATGAATAAATAACAGTCGTGATTATACTACACTAAGTGCTTAGTGGTGAATATAATTGGCGAATGATTTAACTGCCTAGAAAATTACAATTAACTAATGAAGTCGTCATATTGCAGTGTCGTGTCATAAAATGTTTTCGTACACCTAGATTTTCTCATTCGCATCACCGGTTTATGCTTTGCTTAGCACATACGATAAAGTGAACAGTGGTTTTAGTTTTTCATTCGTGGCTAAAAAAACTTTGGTGGCACAAGTCTTGGCTCAAACTTTAAAACATCTAAAGGAAGCCCTCATGCATTATTTTCCACATTTTCATGCCTTAATTTCCAACTCTGTTTCCTTTTGATGATCCCAACACAGCAAGGCTGTGTTTACACAGCTTAATGTTATATAATGTATGTCTCCAAACTGATCGAAATTACCTGTGTGTCAGGACTCTGGTTACGACATGCATAATTCTGGGTTAGAAATTAATTTTTTGGCCAGGCAGCAAGTACTTATTCAGAACTTCAGGTGCCCAGCAAATTTACTCATCCGCACAGAATCTTTGGTGCTTTCACTATGGTTTATAATTTTTTATGGCAGCAACCTGACGTTGAAAACAGGCAGCAAACTGACTTTTGTTGGCAGCAAAACGGTTGCTTACTGCCCATAATTTCTAAACCTGGTAATTGACCTTCAATTAACAATCAGGTATTTATTGCCCGATTGCTCAACATGCATACTGAAATTTCTGGGGAAACCTTGGAGCCAATTAGTTTGAGCCAGAACAATATATATCTGAACTGTCATTGTGGTTTTTCAAATACACATCTTGCAGCATGTGGGGAAGCCTCTAAGATAGATGACACCTAATTCAAAGATAGAAGTAGCCTAATTTATTAGGAATGTTTAACATTGTGAACTTGCATGTGAACCCTATGCATAAGATGATTTTATCCAAACTCTAGATGAGCAATAGGTTGATATCATTGTTACGAGCATCATATACCAAAAAATATTACAAGTGTAGAGTTATATATATACTTACTATATGTTCTTATATATATATGCAGAAACCAAGCCGCTATGGTGGTTGTGATGTTATTAAATTACTGAAAAATGTTTATGGAGCCTTTTTATTAGCAATAGGGTGACATGAAAGACACGACAGATGTAGACACAGCACCAGTGCCTTTAGGGCATATACCAACGGCTGATACCTTTGGAAAGGAGCTCTTTATGGCAGCAAATCGACCCCATGTGAAATCTAAAAAGATATCAAAACTCCTTGAGCGCAATCAAGGTAAGGAAAATATTAGAATCAGAACTCTGAATTTTTGCATGTACGATTGTTACTTAAGCCAAAGCCAAATTAAAATGTATTATGCATGTTCATAATATATTGCATGTGATTTGTAATTTTACAATTAACACGTGGGTATCAAGATGCAACTAAAATAGACATGTAGCACTCAGTACTATGTACATACGTTCGTCAACTGCATTAATCAGCACGGGCTATGTGAAGCGATGGAATATATTTCGTGAACTAGACCTTCAAGTTCAACATACCTAGTCCAAAGATTAAAAGTTTAGAGCTGAATGACCTGAGGTTACCGTATACAAAGAGCTTCACAATCCGAGCCTTTTAACGGGTGGTGAGGGATTGCTGATCTAACATGATTTACGTACAAAGAAATTAGTTCTACGGGAAATTAGACAAAGGAGGTATTGGCCAGTTTGGGGAAAAGCGCATTATGGATTCAACGGCACGCATGCAGACACTTCAGGTGGAAGTGGGGGGGGGAACGGCACGCATGCAGACACTTCAGGTGGAAGTGGGGGGGGGAGAGGGAGAGGGCGAACTCCTTTCACAACGGCAATGTTAAATTTGAAAAAGGGCGGTGCGCCACTGTGCCTCTTTATGTATAAGAAACCCTGACCTGTTTATCACTCTCATTCATTACAGTATGCTACAGTTGCTACCTGTGGTAATTTTTGCACTATTGCTAGTGGATTACTCTATGCACTGATGCCTTGCCACCAGGCACCAGCTCAAATGAAGCCAGATGTATCACAGAGTATACTCTAGTGGTACTTGCCAATTGGTACATAGTATAAACACAAGCCAAATAAAAGTCAAACACCAGTCAAACTTCGTGGATGGGTGAAGTGACATTGAAACAGCATCCACTGATAGACAATGTTTTAATAATATGAACGTATATTTATAATAATTATTAGATAATACTAATAGGCTAATAATGTAAATGTAAAGTATAAAAGATATGAGATCGTAATGCAATTTAAACAGCAGAACGGTAGTAACTAATAATTCTATTAGTGAAAAAACAACATTTCATTTCGGATGATATTTCATTTCACTTAAACACGATATGGATACGATTCATGAATATATATATATATACATTTATGGAATGCCCACGTTTTATAAACAAGTGCCGCAGAGCGACAGCGCTCAACTGAATAGATTTCTGTGTTTTACTATTATCAGTATTCCTGTGTTTATAATTGGGAGAGCGCCTTAGCCTATAGAGTGCAAAACCGCTGATTCATCCGCTATTGTCTTTTCCCCTGGTATCCATGTATACTGATGAAATGTTATTATATAAATCTATGCTAGGATTACTCTTCTTCATTTTAAATGCAAAATATTATCAAGAGCAGATAAAGAATCTTATCTATCTGCTCTTCTTCTTTATCTGCTCTTTTTCTTTATCTGCTCTGCCTTCTTTATCTGCTCTTGATATTATTCTTCTGGGGAGATATTACGCATGCGCCAGCACCTCCTCAGACGTGCGGTACGGACTGAAGAAAACTGCACAATATAGTTTGCTGAGGGGGAGAGGAGTGAGAGACTAAGGAAAGGCGGCAGGGAAGACAGCTGAGAGAAAATACAAAAAGAAGGAGACTGGTTGAAAGACAATGGAGGCCAGGGGGAAGGACAAGGCCGGATGAAGTAGAAGTTTTGCACTCTATATGCTAGGGCGCTCTCCTAATTATAAACACAGGAATACTGATAATAGTAAAACACTGATATCTATGCTGAGATACATACGCATATCTGGTATTCCTGGTATGGCCTTCATTGTCCTTCGACCAGTCTCCTTCTTTTTTGACTGCTCCTCAGCTGTCTTCCCTGCCGCCTTTCCTCAGTCTCCCACCCATTTCTCCCTGAGCAAGCTATATTATGCAGTTCTCCTCAGTTCGTACCGCACGCCTGAGGTGGTGCTCGCGCATGCGCAATATCTCACGAGAAGAATAATATTTTGCGAAAATTATGCATTTAAAATTAAGAGGAAATATTCTAGCATAGATTTATATGATAACATTCCATGATTAGATCTCACTTAAGAAAGAAGAAGAAGAGCTTTATGTAAGGTCGCCGCTGCATACACTAGTCAATACTCAAACTGCCTACGTTAGTGTGTTATCGCATGCGCAATATATCACCAGAGGAATTATATTTTGTGTCGAATATACATTTAATCTAGTTAGGGTGTATCTCAGCATAGATTTCTGTGTTTTACTATTATCAGTATTCCTGTGTTTATAATTGGGAGCTAGAGCGCCCTAGCCTATAGAGTGCAAAACTGCTACTTCATCCGGTCTCGGCCTTCCCCCTGGCCTCCATTGTCTTTCAACCAGTCTCCTTCTTATTCAATTCCGCCTCAGCTGTCTTCCCTGCCGCCTTTCCTTAGTCTCTCACTCCTCTCTCCCTCAGCAAGCTATATTGTGCAGTTTTCTTCAGTCCTTACCGCACGCATGAGGTGGTGGGGGCGCATGTGTAATATCTCCACAGAAGAAGAATATTTTGCAAAAACTATGCATTTAAAATGTAGAGGAGTAATCCTAGCATAGATTTATATGATAACATTTCATCAGTAGACATCACTTGAGAAATAAGAAGAAGAGCTCTACGTAAGGTATCCGTTGCATATGCCAGTCAGTACACAAACTGCTTAAGTTAGTATGTTAGCGCAGGCGCAATATCTCACCAGAGGAGTTATATTTTGTAAGGAATAAGCATTTAATTAGGCTAGGGGGTATCTCAGCATAGATATCAGTGTTTTACTATTATCAGTATTCCTGTGTTTATAATTGGGAGAGCGCCCTAGAATATAGAGTGCAAAACTTCTACTTCATCCGGCCTTGTCCTTTCCCCTGGCCTCCATTGTCTTTCAACCAGTCTCCTTCTTTTTGTATTTCCTCTCAGCTGTCTTCCCTGCCGCCTTTCCTTAGTCTCTCACTCTTCTCCCCCTCAGCAAGCTATATTGTGCAGTTTTCTTCAGTCCGTACCCCACGCCTGAATTAGTGGCCGGTACTGCTCGAGCATGCGCAATATTTCACGAGAAGCATATTTTGCAAAAAATATGCATTCAAAATGAAGAGGAGATATCCTAGCATAGATTTATATGATAACGTTTCATCAGTAGACCTCACTCAATAAGTGATATCGGAAAATTTCCCGCCGCCATATTGAGATCAGATACCTGCAGGACTTGTGCTCTACTTGTCATATCAATTCACACATCGTGAGTACAGTTCCTTGTTTGTTTGTTTTGGTATTTCCGATAATCGATTATTTGTTTTCATAATCGATTATCGAATTTGAGACTATAATCGATCGATTTTCGATTATAATCGATCATCGGGACATCACTACCAATATCACTGCTGGTTAAATTACAAACAAAACTTGAAATCGGTTGTTGATATGTATCAACGTATCATTTACGTGCCGTAAATGTCATCCAGGAGTCAAGCGATAACGTAAACATTTGTGCGGCCCGTATGTTTTGGACGCCAGATGAAACGGAGGTTTCAGCGGTGTAACCACGTCCACGGACTAATCACGGATGCACGTGGACAGCCCTGACAAAAAGTTCCTTTTCACGAGCGTCTATGTTTACGAATTCACTGATGATTGCATTGCGTACGGCCGAGCATGCGTGCGAAAATATCCGGTGCACTATAAATCTGTATCACACCCGCTTCGCCGGCAGCGGTTTGAAACTGTAAACAACTGATTTTTGGACTGCGGATTTCAATTAGACATTTCTTAGTAACCAGCAGCGATATTGGACAAACTAATACGCGTTTGGCTATATAAGGTAATGTACTTATTAACTACACAAGGTGCCAGTTACTCTAGCATTTGTCAACATTGCATAATTAATGGACCTATTATTCCTTTAAATAAACGACTCACACAGCTCTCCCTTTCGTTCTCTTCCTCCCTCCCTCCCTCCCCCTCTCTCTATCATACACACCACAGACCAATAAAAATACAGTTATTCTGAAGACTAACATGAAGGGCATTTAAAATGAGTTCATACAAGTAGCAACTATCACATGTGTATGCTATTCTATAGTATACGTGCTTTTGTGACGTTTGAATTACAGCCTGCACCTAACTTTTTATAAATAAAATTAGAGAAGATTCCCTTCACCAGTTATTTCTTTTGTTCTCTAACAAAAAATATAGGTGATTACTAACATCTCAACTTTTATCACAATCTTACTCTCAGTCATCTGGTCACTTAAAAAACAACTACAACTGTGGACCACAAATGAATATGGATGTACCTTAGTCTACATTCACTATACACAAGTTCAGCATTAATAATATATCTGCCAGAGAAAACTCGTGGACAACAATTCTGTTGATGTACTAGAAGTCCTAAAATAATGAATTTGTACACTAAAATTGAAAATCTACAAGTCACAATAGTGTTTTTAAAAAGCTAATGCAAGGTTAAAATTAAGAAAATATGCTAACTAATGATACACACTGTGAGCTAGTATCACATACAGATGCGTTCCCTACTTTAAAAAACAATTTTCCCAAAACGTGAATTCCAGGAACAAATCATCATTCCAACTTCATAATGTGGTGTTACGCATTCTTGGTTCAACATCTTATTCACATGGAGAATTTACTGTGATTTGTTCCACAGTTGTACGCAATTATGTGTTACAGGGGAAGACATCGTTAACAGTTTCTGCCTAAAATCACATTCTTCACCCCGTGATTAAAAAAATGTACCGGCTTAAAATATCCTGAGCAATACTATAATTATCAGTCCTCAACTGGATGGCAGGGAATGAAATTGCCCTGCTTCTCTGTAGGTCAGTGGTTCTTAACCTTTTTTGAGTCATGGACCCCTTTGAGAATCAGGTGAAAGCTACGGACCCCTCCCCAGAAAAATGCACATAAGAACATGAACACAATATTTTCATGTGCCTGGTTCATGGACCCACTGAAGCCCATCCACGAACCCCAATGGGGTGCATGGAGCACAGGTTAAGAACCCTTACTCTAGGTAGAGCAGCTGGGAGTGTGCAGGCAGTTACAATGACAATCATGTCAAACCTGCCCTGCCTTTCTTCTCTAGATGCAGCAGGCGTATGTGTCGGAGAAGGTTTCCAGACTGTGTGAAGGCGGCGTCACACACGTCGCACTTGTACGGCCGCTCGCCCGTATGCACGCGCGTGTGCTTAGTCAGCGTGCTGCGGTCGATGAACGAACTCTTGCAGAGCGCACAGGTGAAGGGTCGCTCGCCCGTGTGTGTTCGCGTGTGCGTCGTCAGGCTACCCGACGTTGTGAAGGCGGCCGGGCAAAGATCACATTTGTACGGTCGCAGGGGTTCGGGAAGATTCGTCGAGGACACCGATTTCTTCTTCCTGATGTTGTCTTGGTCGGCAACCCGCAGCAGAGTCTTGTATCTCTTCATGCAGGTGTGATTGAGCATCTGATTTCGATCGTTGTAAATCAGATCGCAGCAGGAACACTTGTAGCGGAGAGATGTCGGCTTGGGAGCGACCGGCTTCAGCACGCTGGGCAGGCGTTGCGTGCGCGGGTGGCTCGGCAGAACCTTCCTCTTGAACGAGTCGTTCTCGTGCGAGACCACGTGATTCGCGATCGCCTTGGGGCTCTCGAACGACACGAAGCAGATGTCACACATGTACCTGCAGAGGTAGAAATTAATTTGTGAACAAGAGAGTCCGATGGACTCCCTGCCCTCAAAAAGAGGGAGTCCGCAGCAAAACAAGGGAGTCCGCAGTCTGAAGTTCAAAACTAAAAATATAAAAATGTGCTTATTTTGAAGATTAATGCGGTTGCACGTCTGCCAAATTTTCTTTGGACATTTGCTAAAAAAATACGGTATTTCCGCGAGGCCGTGCTCTGGAACGAACTAGTTAGTATAACAGAATTTTCAGGGAGTCGCACGGACTCCTACACATGTCAAATCAGGGAGTCCGACAGTAAATCAGGGAGTATTCGACTCCGGACTCGCATTAATTTCGCATCCTGTACCTGTGGTCAACCCTCTCGAGCTGCGCTCGCTTCACCGGCCCGCGCGCGTTCTCGTCGAACGCCAGTCGGAACACTTCCATGACGAAGGAACCGTGGCCCGAGTGCGTCGCCTCGTGGTCGGCAAGGTCGAGCGCGCTCGCGTAGATGGCGCCGCATATCTTGCAGCCGTACGGCTTCTCGCGGTTGTGCGAGGTCATGTGCAGCAGCAGCGCACTCTCCTGGATGAAGGCCACCGTGCAGACGGGGCAGACGTGCAGGTGCTCCCCGCCGCGGTGCGTGTTCATGTGCTGGAAGAAGTTGAACATGTCGGCGAACGGCTCGCTGCACACGTCGCACGCGTACGGCCCGTCGGCGCGGTGCGAGAGTTTGTGCTGCGCGAGGCAGCTGGCGCGTTCGCACGCCTCGCCGCAGATCTCGCAGCCCCGCGCCTCGCGAATCTCCGCGTGCCGCGACCACAGGTGCTGCCGCAGCGCGGCGCGCGACGTGAACGTCAGCGAGCAGCTGAACTTGAAGTGGCAACGCAGCAGCGGTGTCTGCGGCGAGCGGACCGCGTGCGCGCACTGCTTGTGCTGCTGCTGCTTGTGCTGCTGCGGCTTGTGCTGCTGCTGCTTGTGCTGCTGCGGCTTGGGCTGCTGCGGCTTGGGCTGCTGCTGCTTGTGCTGCTGCAGCTTGTGCTGATGCAGCTTCGTCGAGCTGCCGAATACCGACTGGCAGACGTTGCAGCAAGACGACAGAGTCATGTGGTTTTGATAGATGACGCTGTCGCAGAACACGCGCTTACAGTTGGCGCACGTGTACACCGTAGAGTGCGGAGTCTGCTTGTGGACTTCCATGTGCGCGGCTAGGTCATTGAACGTGGCGTGCGCTCCCCTGCACAGCCCGCAGATGAACCCTTTCTGCAATGTGGGAGTTGGCCTTTTTGGCAGGGCTTCACTCTGGGGAGCAACAGGCTGCACGCTGTCTTCCGTTTCCATGTCTGTTGTCGAGGCGATCCTGCCCGAGTTTGAATCACAGAGATCGGATTTTCGATTAAGTCCAGTCGGAACTGACGTCTTATCACATGCATTGCCATTGGCATTGGTGGTACTGATGCACGTATTACCATCATCTTTGTCATCACGAGCAACGTCGATGACTAGCTGGTCTTCGTCACTTTCACTGTCCTCTCGTTGGCCAGGCGAGACATTGCTGTTCTCGCCTTTTTGATGGGCAGTGTATTTTTCAGAATTACTCGTCACTACATTCAGAAACGGTCTAATGTTAGCAAATGATGAATCCTCTCGAGACGACCCGTATACCAAAGCGGGTTCTTGCTGCTCTTTTGTGTTCACGCCAGGAGCCATCATGTGACCATAGTGAAGAACTATAGTCCAAAGCTTTCAGTCTAAGCAAAAAACAAAAGCACTGTTATATATATGGCTGCAGAAAATACTGAATTGTAATTGGTGAAGAGCATTTACATGCCATTAAATAAAAACCAATATTGCTCAAGTGAACCTAAAAATGTAATAATGCCAACTATGGTGTGAGGCAAAAGGTTTGAATAAATAGACAAGAACATGTAGTATATCATATCTGGCCAAACGTAATGATAGTAAAACAGTTAGAATGTGATCAAAACACCTGGCACTGTACTATGTAATTTCCTGCCAAACCTCCCCCAAGAAATGTCACTACAATTCGTTAATGACACATTGTGCACCACGATTGCGTGACTGTGGCATTACAGTCTCTCTGAGTTGTGATTGTGTATCGGGAAAAGAATTTGAGATGAGGTTTATTGACTGGTCAAAGTAACGTTTTAGTTCATTACTGATTAGTTATAGTTGTATAGAATCTATAGATCGTTATAGTTTACTGAGTTATGCAAATTCATTAATGTTAGTATGTGGAATTGCCCTTGTTCTCTTTGCGACGTGGCACGTCGGGAGGTGACGTCGCTCACTGTCAACATTACCAGTAGAATTATTTCCTGCTGATTTTATACAGAATATTTAATACAATTACTGTCTCGTTGTTTAGGCAACATGGAAATTTTTGGATCTAGAATACTATTACTACCGTCCAGGGGAACACACATTTTCTCAGCCCACAAAACTCGAATGTTTTTCTTGTAACTATGCAAGATTCAGTGTTGGAAAAAGCCTATCCCCTCACTACAGGACTTGTAAGTTGTAAGCTTTGAACTGGATATTTGTGGACGTATGGGCTATGTGACAGTGTGATAGTTATGGCAGTGATCCGTGTGTGTGTCCAAGATTAGCAAGTTGTATTGTTTATACTTTTTCGGCAGCTCATTCATTACGCAGTCAGTGTGATAACAGAAAACCAGTTCCTGGTCACATTCCCGAGTGGCATGGACAAGTAACTTAACCCGTTTGGGCGCCTTCTGATCCTGCCAACCACTGATCTTACCTAAATCACCTAATCTATAGTTGGAATACGTCACTCCGCGTGAACAAACAACAGGAAATAGACATACTATTAGTATTACTACTCAGTCTACTGTACATTGATTGAATGGGTGCACAACGGCTAATGCAAATTCAATGCCAGATCCAGACAAGCTACACAGACGTGTACATAACTTTTCGGATTCCGAGACGTCTCCACTGAAACGAAATCAGGCACAGTTACTAACTCGCGATTTAATTATTGCAAAATCTTACCTGAATCATTTCGAAACCACTGAGCTACTCTATTAACCCAGCAATCACAGTTAGATGTTTAGTTCGCAACAATATAAAACTTCGTAAAGTAGACAGGTGGTAAATATGCAGCGCCCTCTTTCATCTAAAAGTAAAAAGTAAAACGCTATTATACAGAGACTGTAAAGGGCAGCGTAGTTTTATTGAAGCTTCACAAGCATGTATACGTAAATTGCATTTGGGATACATATAAGATTATGTTTAGGCTACACACAAAATATATGGCTAAAATATTACAACCACGGAATTTATCAGGAGTCACAGTTACACAAACAGATACGATGTTCCCGATGTGTATATGTCACTCAAGATTGGCGTCAGGGGCCGTTATATCAACCCCAGTCGTCGAAGTTGAACGTTTCAATAATAAATAGTTTCTATCGAAAACGTTTCGATAGTAAATAGACACGGGTTACATTTACTAATCAACACTGTTCGCGTAGTTTACTATAGTATGTCGCCTAATTATTCCACGCAAATTAACTTCACGCAAGCTACTGCACAGAAAT